CCTTCCGTCCCAAACCGTTGCCAACCATCACAAACACCCCTTAAACTGGTGTAGTTTGCCACTAGGTACCCAAGTGGTGTTTTCCTGAGCGCTCCGGTTCTAGTCACTTTTTCCCCGTCTGATCACTCTCCGCCGGTGTAGAGCCACTTCTGTTCGGAAGCCCAAGGCTTCCGCTTTTCGGTCGCCATTATTTTTTAGTAGGCAATGTGCGCTTGGGCGAAGCTTCGCCCCGTCATTAATAATAATTTTAAAAGGTGCCTAGTGTAAAGCTTTAGACGAGTCCGGGACCTCATGGAGGCCAGTTTCAGAGTTAAAATGGACCTCATGGAGGCCAGTTTAAATGTAAAGGGATGTCTTCGTTTCAGGGAATGCTTTTCGGGTTCAGTCGTTCTGCGCCTGCGCAAAGGTCTTCATTATAAGAAAGACTGCCTATGCGCATGCGCAAACTGTGTAAAAAAAACCCAAAACCCACCGACACGCTCTACCGAGTGCCTGAAGTGTGGGCGCCAGGGAGCGATGTAAGAGGTGAGTGTGATCAAAACCCGCCAACACGCTCTACCAAGCACCTGAAGTGTGGGTGCCAGGGAGCGATGTAAGAGGTGAGTGTGATCACGTTTCCCCTGGATCAAATTCATCTACTTGGAACCAGAGCAGTTTACACTGCTCCCAGCCCGCCATCTGACCGCACCCTAAGGGTGACAACCAGAACCTCAGATTGACCCCTAGTAGCTGAGCAGTAACCAACAGAGTGACTGTGGAATAGGTGTATGCCAGATAGTAACTGGGCTGAAACATTCTGTACCAACTGGAGTTTCCAAGTTGACTTTAAGGCAGGTGTGTCAAACATCCCACCCAAGGCTCTTATCCAGCCCATGAGCAAGGGAAATAGGGATGTGGTTGGGGAGGACAAGTAGGTGCACGCAGTGAGGTGTGTGTGGTTGAAACTGTCAAGAAATAGAAAGGAAATGGCTAGGGGGTACGGCTAAGGCCGAATCTACATATGCATTTTAGAATCAGCTTGGTGCCGCTGTTATCCCATGTGGTTTAGAACTGCTGTGCCTCTGCTTTCAAGTTAGCATTAGGGGAGCTGTCCACTTTGTCTTTTTTTCAGTTATCTAATCAAAATCTAATGTTCATCACTAGATGGCCCCCGGGGGTTACTGGAGTGTGCAAAAATGTCAGAAAACCGGCAAGAAACACACATGTGGATTCGACCTAAGAGGCTAAGGTAAACTAGTGTTGGGGGAATGGCAGTGCGGATTCGACCTAAGAGGCTGAGGTAAACTAGTGTTGGGGGAATGGCAGTGAAGGTGGAGAAAGAGAAGGCATGGTGTTTATTCCCTCCCACCTCTTCCGAGTGCAGCTCAGCAAGGATTGGCAATGCCATTGCATGGGGGTGCCAAGCTGAGCAGCTGGTGCTGCCACTACTGCAGCAACCAGCTTCATGGGTTTTTTTCCCCCAAATGGTGACTTTGGGGGGGGGGTTTGGTGAGAGTGGGTGCATAGAACTGTGGTTTGCTGATGAAGGGACAGGGACAGCAGGGGAGAGAGGAGGGCTGGTGCGTGGATTGGGTGGCAACTAGGCTGTCTTGTGTGTGCCACTCTGAGGATAAAGAGTGGTGAGTAGAGCAGCAAAAGGGAAACGGGGTGCTGCTGTTGCTGCCACACATCTGAACAGCCGTGGAGCCAGGAGGCAGAGTAAGATTTAGGGCGGTAGGAGACAATGCCCTCCCCCCCCCAGCCTGTGAGGGGGGAAAGGTTGTGGTAGGACAAAAAGTGCTCCCTGCAGGTTTTGGAAGCAGTCTCTCCTTCAGGCCTTTCCCTTAGCCCCATCACTTCTGTGGGAAATGCAGGACGGTTGAGAACTCAGTGTGGGGGATCTGGGAGAGCCATGTTCAGATTCCCCTTCCTTCTGAGCTGGGATCCTGTCGTCTGGGTCACCCAGTGCTGGTTGCTCAGCCTGGCCCACCTCAAAGGGTTGGTGGTGATGGAGATGGGGAAATGGAAGGGGAAGTCTAGTGTGCCTCCTTAAGATCCTCAGCAAAAGACAGATCATAGCTGTGCTCACCTGCTGAGACTGAGCATTTTTTGGGGGGGGCTGGAAAACTACCTTATTTACTTGCTAGGAAGATGACTCATCTCCTAAAAGTGCTATATATACAAAAAGTAACTAATTTGTATGGAAATGTAAGATACCCCCCCCCCCCTATGGTATCCCTTGGGAAAAACCTAGTCTTGCATATGGTTATATACATTTATGCCGGGAGATCAAATGTAATGCAGGGTAATAAAATAAACACATAACATTTCTGCATTTATGAATGATTTATTCAGAAATTACGATTATTCATCAGCAACAATTGAAGAGTCACTCAGCACCCAGGTCATATCATTATAAATAACTTTATTGAATCTACTTAAGTCATTTGCAACCCATTTGGCAATCCTGAAAAAAAATCAATCCTAGATTATTGACAAATCCTTACTTTTCAGCAATCAGGATATGCTGCATGGCATAAGATCAAAGGTTTTATGCATGTTAGTAGTGATACAAAACCAAATATTGAACAGTCAATAATTACAAGTCCTTAAACTTTCTTATTTAGTCTTTGCATATAACATTAAGTGTATCATAATTCCAAATGTATGTTCTGGGCATTAAATAAATATTGCATTTACAAATGCTGGAATTAAATGTTGCATTTGAAGTCTTGGGTTCTGTTTCATGTCCCTATCATAATTCCAGTTCCAGTTTCCAAACTGCTGTTTACTCTAATTACAGAATATAAAAATATCCATACCTTTTATTTTAAAGTATTTTCTATCAGAAAGTTCTGTCTTTACTGGATATTATAGGCAGTGGTCATACTAATACATTACATACTAATAAATTGCCATTCTGGCTTTCTTCTACTTCCCATGTAGCTTCAACACAAGGAGCTGAAAGGAAACACTTTTCAGTCTTTCTCTGACATACATAATTACTGGTTCCTTATTATATAAATTGTCTGATCCTCCCCTGAATCCTGCCTTTTCCCCCCAGTAGATAAACACGGTACTTAACCCATAGCACCCAATTCTCCAATCCTGTGGCATATTCACCCATTGCCTTTTTGTTACCAGATGCATGTCTCTGATTGACAGAGTGACTAATCCATTATAACCATGTTTTCATAATTAGTCCCTCTGAGCTATCAGTGACAGCTCTTCTGCATAGGTAGCAGCCTGTTAGAATATGTTTTCCCACATTTACACAGTGACAGCTAGGTGAAAAGAAAGCATCACCCATAACTGTCAAAAAACTTGTTGAGAGTTGTTTTTTTTAAATTGTTTCTTCTGTAACCCTTCTATTGATAGATGTATCTGCAACAAGGGCAGGGTTCTTGTAAAGCTGGCACAAGACCCCACCCAGAAACCCACCTATGTATAGAATTATAATTTGGTGGCTGGAAAAGTCATGCCCTCACACCTGCAATACATCGCCATAAAGATTTGAAATAGACAAGCAGGGAACCCTCAAGGACTTGTGAGAGGGGTCACTTCATTTTCTGTTGTATTCCCTTCCCCACAGTATTTCCTTTTTATCTCCTCCATAACCCCTCCCCTTTCCCTGCTTCCTTCTCTTCTTCTCCCTCGCCAGCCAACTTTGCTTTTATCTGATCCCCAATCCTTGAATTCATTTATTGTTTATTCACTTCATTTATACCCTATGTTCCTTCTCAATGGGGACCCAAAGCAGATTACTTTGTTCTCCCCAATTCCATTTCATCAACACAACAACTCTGTGAAGTAGGTTAGGCTGAGACAGAGAGTGACTGGCCTAAGGTCACCCAGCAAGTGAGTTGTGTAGCATAAAGTTGCATGGTACCAAGTTACTGCTGGGCCTGACCCTGATGAGTTCTCCCTCCAGGGCAGGATGGAGGAGAGCAGTGGACTGGAGGCAAAATAGCCCTGGAAAGGGCCCTGCTCCACTTTGCCTGCCTTTTACTGGCAGGACAAAGGGTTGAAGGCTGGGAATATTGTTGTGTTGCCTAACAACTCCCACAATGGCCACTGAGACCTCAGAGGGCATCCACTTCTTAAAGGTACAGACACTGCTTTTATTATTTGGGGTGGTTACTCCCACAATTTTTTTTATTTCAGATTTTTCTGCAAACCTAGTGGTTTTTTCAGGTTTGCAGAAAGATCTATCTTGTCAAACATAGCTCTAATCTCTGTTTTTAAGTATCCAAACAGGACCATTTTGAGAATAAGATGCATTGACGCAAAAAAGCAAAGTGTTTTGGTTTATGATAAAGGAAATAAATATTGGGGCAATGCAAAACCTACTAAGCAATTGCAATATTTACATACATATAATGAACTATAATTAGATACATTTTTATATACATAATTTACATAGATCTATATCTAACTGCCTTCAACGTCCCAGTGTTTTGAACCACCATTTTAGATGGGCAGACTGCCTTTAACCACTATACCTTGGCAGGATCATCTAATAAATGTCCATATTTTCACTGGACAGACTATGCCAGATCCTAAATCCAAACCAAACCCCTCTCTTGTAGCAGATCAGCAAAGCATATGGAAGCTTTCCATAATATCTTCAGCATTTCAGCAGCCAGGAATGGCTGCTATTTAAGCTCCTGCCAGCAGCTTAGTAATTTATCTGCTCTCCTGTTTCCCAAGGGCATGCAATGGAGAAGAAACAACAAACCAAGTTACACCATAAAGTTTACTACTGCTCATGAAAAAGCTTATGGAAGTCTCATGAGCAAAACTGAAATCCCCACATACAGGAAGGCCTTTCTTTTTTTAAAAAAAGTCTAATTTAGGAAGATGAGACATATGTTAATTCAGGAAAACAGAAACATTATTAGAATTATGTGCATGCAACATGTACAGTGAACATATGTATGAATGACTTTTGTATTGACAGTTAAAAATAATGTTTTATTTCAATCTAGTTTATTAATTTTCAAAACACTTTTTAATTGCAGGTGTAACATTGTGGCCTATAGCATAAGATGGCCAATCAATGTTCCATAGAAGAACGGATGTATGTGTGGCTATGTATACCTCCAACAAGTGGACAATTAGCCTCCCAGAATACAAGTTAGAAGTAGCGTCTGAATAGGTATGAAGGCTGTTTTGTGTGGTGTGTCACAGTATAGGTCCCAGAGCTTTAGCAATACATCTTCTGTTCTATTTTTTTTAAAGCTTTACATTTCTGTGGGAAGCTGATGGATGAGCAATTCTGTGGTGGAGAGTTTACTTCAAGACTGTATCATCAGATCTGTTAACTGCTGAATGATGTCCGTTGACAGCAACAATTCAGTGGGTGACAGGGATGTGACATTTACCTGAATTGTCTCTTTGTTTGTTTTGTTCCTGCTCCTCTAGCTCAGAAAGGGGGGGGGATCTTCCAGTGCTTCAGGTGATTGTTCATCACAGAGAGGGGCATTTGGGAAGTGAAATGGCTAAGCCACTTGTATCAACAAATGAGTCAACATGTCCTCAAAGAAACAAACCAATATTGAATAGCAAAGGTGACCACTGACATGTAACTCAAGTGAAATGAAGTGTGCTAGAAATAATGCAGTGTGGCATACTGATGGGTCATAGAACTTTGAACAACACCTGTCTACAGCTACCATTTGACTGGGTTTAAGAGAGCAGGTGCCAAAACTAACATGAAAAAGCTTTCCAATGACTAAAGAATACTCATTAGTGGAGCCTGGAGCTGAAAATAACCAATAATTTTGGATAGGTTCTCTTGTTTATTCCTGCTTACTAATAGTTTTCGGAGCAAAGAAATAGAAATATTCCCATATTATCTAACAAGAGTCTTTACAAACCAGCCCAAACACAAAAGTCTGCTCCTGGAAACCTTTCAGACCCAGACTTTAACCAACCTATAGTTCTACAGGGAGGCAACCACCAAGAAATCAAGCTGTTTTGTATTAATACTGATATTTTGCAGTTTTTAAAAAGGTGTTCTTGGCTTCCCTCTAGGTCAGGAGTGAGCCAGCATCAGTCCTGTGTGGTCTACTGACCCCCTAAAATTTCCATTCCAATTCTGGCTCTAATTCTGCAGGGATAGGGTTACTAGATGTCTTCTTTTTTTTGGTGGCCATCCTGTTTTGGGCTCTTTAAAAAAAACTGATGAAAAAGTCCTCTTTTTCGGTTGGAAGGTTAAGAATATTCCTAGTTAGTAGCAATTATCATGCCTGAAAAATGGAATTCGTCATAGTGATCACTTGTTTGAAGTAGTCATTTGGGAAAGATGTCCTCTTTGTTGCTTTTTAAAATACGGTAACCCTAGCTGGGACTCAACTTTTTAAAACTCTGTGTACTTCCTTTATGGCCCACTACTGATAGGGGGTCTCTTGTGGATCTCTGCCTTGATACAGCGAGGGGGCTTGCATGGTTTGATGAGGCTGCAGGCTATGCCATGGAGGGCCACCCAGAATGGACAGGCCACAGCAGAGAACTCAGACAAAACATGATCCACTGGAGAAGGAAATGGCAACCCACTCCAGTATCTTTGCCAAGAAAAATCCATGGACAGTAACAAAACACCAGAAGATGAGCCCCTCAGGTCAGAAGGTGTCCAATATGCTACTGGGGAAGAGCAGAGGGGAAGTACAAGTAACCCCAGAAAGAATGAAGCAGCTGGTACAAAGCTGAAAGGACTTTTAGCTGTGGATGTGTCTGATGGTGAAAGGAAAGTCCAATGCTGCAAAGAACAATACTGCATAGGAAAAAGAAGAGAAGAAGAAGAGAAGAGGTTGGATTTATACCCTGCCCTTCACTACCCAAGGGAGTCTCAGAGAGGCTTAGAAACTCCTTTCCCTTCCCCTCCCCACAACAGACACCCTGTGAGGTAGGTGGGGTGACAGAGCTCTTGACAGAAACTGCTCTTTTGCAAGGACAGCTCTTATCAGTACCACGACTTGCCCAAGGTCATCCAGCAGGTGCAAGTGGAGGAGTGGGGAATCAAACCCGGTTCTCCCAGATTAGAGTCCGTGCACTTAACCACGACACCAAACTGGAGAGATTGGATTTATACCCGTGAAAAAGGCAGTAATGGGATACAGTCTCAAAAATGACAGAATGATCTCAGTCTGAGTCCAAGGCAAACCATTCAACATCACAGTAATCCAAGTCTATGTCCCAACCACTGAAGTAGAGGAGACTGAAGTGGACCGGTTCTATGAAAACCTACAACACCTCCTAGAACTAACACCAAAAAAAGATATCCTTATCATCACAGGGGACTGGAATGTTAAAGTAGGAAGTAAAAAGGTAACTGGAATAATGGACAAGTTTGGCCTTGGAGAACAAAATGAAGGCGGGCAAAGGCTAACAGAGCTTTTGTCAAGAGAGCACACTGGTCATAGTGAACACCCTCTTCCAACAACCTAAGAGGTGACTCTACACATGGACATCACCAGATGGGTAACACCGAAATCAGATTGATTATATTATTTGCAGTCAAAGATGGAGAAGCTCTATACAGTCAGTAGAAACAAGACCTGGAGCTGACTGTGGCTCAGATCATGAGCTACTCATTACAAAATTCAGACTTAAACTGAAGAAAGTTGGGGAAACCACAAACTGGAATTAAGAGTGCCAGGAAAAACATCAACAACCTCAGATATGCAGACAATACCACTCTAATGGCAGAAAGTGAAGACGGCCTTAAGAGCCTCTTGCTAAAAATGAAAAAAGAAAGTGCAAAAGTTGGCTTGAAACCCAAAATAATAAAAAAACTAAGATCATGGCATCCCGCCCCATCACTCCTTGGCAAATAGAAGGGAAAGTCATGGAAGCAGTGACCGAATTCACATTCCTGGGATCCAAGATCACTGCAGATGGTGACTGCAGCTATGAAATTAAGACACCTGCTCCTTCGGAGGAAAGCTATGGCAAACCTAGACAGCATAATAAAAAGTAGAGACATCACCTTGCCAACAAAAGTCTGTATAATTAAAGTAATGGTATTCCCAGTAATAATGTATGGCTGTGAGAGTTGGACCATGAGGAAGGCTGAGCGCCGAAGAGTAGATGCTTTTGAATTATGGTTCTGGAGAAGACTCTTGAGAGTCCCCTGGACTGCAAGAAGATTAAATCAGTCAATCCTACATGAAATCAACCCTGACTGTTCTCTCAAAGGACAGGTACTGAAGCTGAAGCTCAAATACTTTGGCCACCAAATGAAAAGGGAGCACTCACTGGAGAAGACCCTGATGCTGGGAATGATTGAAGGTAAAAAAAAGAAGGGGACAGAAAAGGATGAGATGGTTAGACAGTGTTATTGATCCAACAAACATGAAATTAGGCAAACTCCGGAGGACAGCAGAGGACAGGAGGGCCTGGCATGATGTGGTCCATTGGTTCGCGAAGCATTGGACTCGACTGTGCAACTGAAGAGCAACAACAAAACTGATAGGGGAGAAAGAGAGATAAGAATTTAATTAATACTTTCATGTGAATAAGATTTGTTAATAAAGATTTGAAAACTGCATCTAAAATATACAATGCAAGCATCTTATGACGTGGGTTTCATCCTAAACCAGTTTGGTGTAGTGGTTAAGTGCATGGACTCTAATCTGGGAGAACCGAGTTTGATTCCCCACTCCTCCACTTGCACCTGCTGGATGACCTTGGGCAAGCCATAGTTCTGATAAGAGCTGTTCTTGAAAAAGAGCAGTTTCTGTCAGAGCTCTCTCAGCCCCACCTACCTCACAGGGTGTCTGTTGTGGGGAGGGGGAGGGAAAGGAGTTTGTAAGCCACTCTGAGACTCCTTTGGGTAGTGAAGGTTAGGGTTAGTACTTACTCCAGCACAGCTTTCACCACTTTCATTGGTCAATTGTTCCAAGCCTCAAGGGACTTTGGTATTATCATGCAACCTCAGTTTCCTTTCTCCCCCCTAAACTTTCCTGGATTACTTTACACCACATGGAATAATGTCTCTCCTGTTGTGTCTTACTACATTTTTAATCCATTTGCTTTTTGGCAGACTGCTTCATGCCGGTGCTATTGGCTTCAAGGAACTTTATTGCAACACTGTAATTCAGCTATCTACCTGCCTACCTACCAACCCGCACTGCTTTCAGAAAGTTGCTGTTGCCAATTTCCTCTTTTGGGATTCAGGAGGAATTTAGGTCCAAGGACAACATACAATATCTCTTATTATTTGATTCCTGCAGTCTAGATTGTTCCATAGATCTTTGGATTGGGGGGGGGGGTTGGTTTTTAAGCAAAGAAATTATCTTAGGTTGTGTCTTCAGTTTACAGAACATATATGATTTGGATGCACATGCACTTTTTATTGGAGGAGGGGGCATTTTGACATATGAAGCTTTCTTATGACATTTAGCCCAGTCTTCTGACTGGTGGGAGGTCTACAGAGATTTAGCAGAGGTTTTAAATGCTGCGATCTGAAGATGGCAGAAACCTTGGAACCTGCTAGATCTACTTTACCAATGAGCTGTCCACTTCCTTGTTTCCAGCTATATGCCACTTTTCAGTTCCTCAGGTGGGATGCAACAAAACTAAATTGATAAATAAGAATTAGAAATCCACAGTGATTGCAGATTCCAGATAAAGTGTATGTAAATGGGTTAGGAAAAGAAAGCTGAAGATAAATACAGAACAAAACTGAGGTCTAACTGTCCCAAACAGCTGGTGAGGTGACAAATCTACCTTTGGGCTACATAATTGAATGCTCCTGCACATGAAGGTGGCCTGTGGCCCCTCTGCTGTTCTCTTCTCTGGTCTTTCCTTAAGTCCTTTCATATTTAGTGCAATGCCTGTTTCCAGCTGTGACAGTCATCCTTAAAAGTCCTGCCTGTCCTCCATGGCTCTGAACCTATCCTTTTGATTTTGGCCTCATGCAAATCCAAGTAATTGTCAGCCAACCAGAGCCCATGGAACTCCACTGGCTAGGAGGGGGTTGAGCCAGCCTCAGCGTAAGTGGGGGGAGAACTTTGGATAGGGATTTCATGGCTCTGGAACGGAGCATCAGCTTAATCAGAATTTTATTTGGCTTTTAGTTAGGGTTTGGGGGTTGACTTAGGAAAGAAAGCTTATTTTAGTGTGACAAATAACCATCCTGTTACAGGCCAGTCT